ATATATATATATATATATATATATATATATATATATATATATATACATATGGAACAAGCTGCGGTACGTAGTTAACCTAGGCTGGAGAGTTTTGTCTGCTCTGTGATACTCACCGGAGGGACCTGTTCTGTGATTGATTGAACAGAATCTGTCGCGAGGTCGGTAGCATCAGTAGCGTAGTTGCAACTCAAAAACACACCCACTGTAAAGATAAAAACAAGACACGCTGTAATTAAGCTGGCCTGGCAAGTTTTCTCTTCTCTGTGGTGTGCATGGTGGAGAGATCCTGTTCTGTTATTGATCGATGGGAATGTGTCGCGCGGTCGGGTCGGGAGTACCCTGCTATTTCTGTACGACGCTCATTCTCAGCAACAGTTGGCTTGAAAAGAGTTCACAGAAAGCCTGCTCGTCGCAAAAGGTAAGCCATGCAAAGTGTGCCACGTACACTAACTTGTTAACTTAGCTGTCATCATTTCCTTATTACAATAACACTTGTTTATGAAAACATTAGTAGTTTATTCTAATTAATAACATTTTTTACTATACGTTAAACTAATTAGGGGTTTTATTCGATAGTTTGCGCTTTGCATGGCTTACCTTTTGCGACGAGCAGGCTTTCTGTGAACTCTTGTCAAGCCAACTGTTGCTGAGAATGAGTGTCGTTCAATATATACCTATGTCATACACACTGTCGGTGTCATCTGCGTGAACATTTTGCGTGGAGCATTCATATTGTTTCGATATTTCCTTCCGTGTGCGATGGCAAACCTGTAATCATCGGAAGGAAATATCGAAACAATATGGATGCTCCACGCAAAATGTTCACGCAGAAAGCACTGCTGGTAGGAATGCATATTCTAATCTGAGCGATAGATTCTCTGCACACCTCGTCATAAAAACTGGTTCAATGTTAAAGCAATTATTCTACTGTCTAGTGATTGTAGAAGAGTACTGAGAGAATAGAGTTAAGAGTAATGACAGAGTAAAGTGAAGAGAATAAGATAAAAATTAATAGTGGAAAAAGTGATCGCGTTTCGTATGTAACCTTGTGGAAATCATAGAAGGTTCAATGTTTATATTACTTGGAAATTCAAAGTATATTTCTATGAGCTTGCTTGTATGGGATATCTATATGGTATATGGTGTATGTAGCATATCTATGGTATAGCGTGTATATGGGATACATATACGGTATATATGGTATGTATTATACCTACGCTGTATAAGGTATGTATTATACCTACTCTATATAAGGTATGTATTATACCTACGCTGTATAAGGTATGTATTATACCTACGCTATATAAGGTATATGTATTACACCTACTCTATATAAGGTATGTATTATACCTACGCTATATAAGGTATGTATTATACCTACTCTATATGTAAGGTATGTGTTATACCTACT